ACTTAGAAGACAGAACCTACACAGAACCTAGAGACAGAAGAACTTCACTGGAGAGAACATGGCAAAAGATCCTGGACAGAACCTGGCTACAGAACTTGGTTGGAGAACCTAGACAGAAACCGGCTGAAGAACCCGGCTACAGAACCTGGCGACCGAACCTGGCTGGAGAACCTAACGAGAGAACATGGCTACAGAACCTGGCTGGAGAACCTGGAGAACCTGGCTGGAGAACCTAGCAAGAGAGCATGGACACAGGACTTGGCTGGAGATTGTGGCTAGAGATCCTGGCAAGGCTCCTGATCAACTGAACGCTGTCTCCGTGTCATTCCTTTTTCGCCAACTCCGTCCACACCTTTGGGGACCCCTGGACCTGCTGGGGTTGGACCCCGGCACGCCATGTCAGCTGACAGGTCAGATGCTAAAGTGCATATTTTTGCCAAGACTTGTGCTTCCTGGTTACCTGGGGGTGGAGATGCCCTATGGGCAGGGACATGGAATACCAGCACAGTGAGGTCTGCCTCCCGCTCTTATAGGAGAGACCAAATGTTTTTCCACATCTCTTGCCCCCCATAAAGGTTTATTTATAATCACCCACCCCTCCTTTTCCCATTGTCAGAGCCATAGATTCAGTCATTTTAAAACAGCTCAACTGTCAGTGCATAGGATTAGTGGCCAGGGCTCATGTGTGATCACTAACCAGGCAGCTTAAAGAGGTGAATAACATGGAGGGACTACTTGGCTACTGTGGTTCGTTCCTGTTCCTATCCAGATAGTGTCAGTGGATGGTTGGATAACAACTGCCCTCCAAGTGGGTAGATTACCCTGGCTCAAGCATTTGGTGTACCAGGCTCCAGCTCAGATGTCCCCTGTTCCTGTTTGACAGGTTACAGGGCCAACATGGAAATGGGAGCAGGGCCTTTGGCGGGTCTGTGTATTCAATGGGCCTAATAGTGGTTGCATCTCTAAAGACAGGGAGCCATTGGACAGCGGACTCTGCTGTGGGTCATCACGCCATTTACTCAGTGCAGGAGTCTGGGCAAAGGCATTGCACTAAGTGGGGTATGAATGTTTACCAGTATCCCAGTACCTCTCGCGGTTTTTGGTGTGGGGTAGGCTTGTACTTTATCTATGACGGCCTCAGGGACGGTGTGGATCTTACCCAACCATACAACTCCCAAGAACTCTAGAGCAGTGCCTGAACTTTGAATTTTCTGCAGATTCACTGCCCATCATCTCTGTTGCAGGTGGTCCAGTAAAGCACACAGGATTTTCTGCAGCATCGGCAAATCTTAACAGATTAACATTTATGTCATCAATGTCACAGGCCCATTTCACTGGGGTTGGGAAAGAAAGCAGTGACAAACCATGGTCACCAATCCATTGAATATGGTGGAGCTATGTAGAGAGCCTGGAGGAAGCACTGGGACAGTCCATGTTGACCCTCCCAGGAAAGGCAAATTGATCTTGGGACGCAGCAGCCAGGGGCATGCTAAAAAAGACATTGGCCAGCCTTCGCCAGTTTGGCTCATTGGCATGCGGACCAAAGGGTCCCAGATTCGATTCTGGTCAAGGGCACTTACCTTGGTTGCAGGCTCCTCCCCAGCCTGGGGCCTGGTCGGGGCTCGTGCAGGAGGCAACCAACCTATGTGTTTCTCTCACATCGATATTTCTCTCTGTCCTTCCCTCTCTCTTCCACTCTCCCTAAAAATCAATGGGAAAATATCCTCGGGCAAGGATTGAGAACAACAACAAAAAAATACATTGGTGCCGAACCAGTTTGGCTCAGTGGATAGAGGGTCCCAGGTTCGATTCCGGTCAAGGGCATGTACCTGGGTTGCGGGCACATCCTCACTGGGGGGCGCGCAGGAGGCAGCTGATCGATGTTTCTCTCTCATCGATGTTTCTAACTATCCCTCTCCCTTCTTCTCTGTCAAAAATCAATAAAATATATTTAATAAAAAAAAAGACATTGGTGAGGTCCAGTATAGCCTGTGTTTCTAGAACCCTAGCCAAATTATGTAATATAGTGGCAATATTAGGCACAGCCACATGAATAGGGGACACTACCTTATTTAGCTCTCCATAATCTGTCCATTCTTTTAGAGCCATCAGGCTTTTTACTGGCCACACTGGTCTGTTAAAGGGACCAGTAAACTAACTGGCTCCCAGTTGGCATTGCCTCTTGGTACTGATTTACTTGTACTTAAAGGTGAATTCCCTGACAGAGGTTTGTAAAGTCTGGCTTTGCAAGATGTTAATGCCCAGTATGTTTCTGGGATTGGGGAGATGAAGACCTCATACTCCTGGTGGTGGGAGCACCCAATTTGCAGAACAAGGGGACTTGCTGACCATTACAGTCTGGCCTCCATAGCTGCCTCTAGCACTGGGGAGCCAGACAGTTTCTGAAGATAACCATATATTAGGGTAGCAGTCGCCAACCGGTGGTCCGCGGACCACTGGTGGTCTGTGAGGTCTGAAAGGTTGGCGACTGCTATATTAGGGCACATTCAGTGTGTCCACTGAAGCAATTACCCTCTTATTTCTGGAGGACCAGTGGATGGTGATTTCCACATGAGGCCTTTGATTGCCCCTATGACCCTCACCTGAAGACGATCTTGGCCTTCATCCTATGTGAGGTGGGGACAGCACCCAGCATAGGATGAAATTCCAGAAAGCTTCCCTGAATCTGTTGTGTCCGCTGGGAGAGCCAAGGGTATGAGGTGGAACTTGTTCTGGTTTTAAAGCTTTCCATCCTGCTAGTACTACATTAGGCTGACAATCGTCTTTTATTTCGAAATGTCTATGGCAGCCGTGGGCAAACTACGGCCCGTGGGCCGGATCCGGCCCGTTTGAAATGAATAAAACTAAAAAAAAAAAGATCATACCCTTTTATGTAATGATGTTTACTTTGAACTTATATTAGTTCACACAAACACTCCATCCATGCTTTTGTTCCGGCCCTCTTGTCCAGTTTAAGAACCCATTGTGGCCCTCGAGTCAAAAAGTTTGCCCACCCCTGCTCTATGGCAACCAGATCGTGCCATGTTGCTTTTGGGTTCTCCTCACAGGCCATTTCTTCTCTGCTGCCCATACTCCCACCCTTTCTTTCCCTCTGTCCAAGTTCTGAGTCTTTCCCCAACTTGTAGCAGAGGTGCTTCTCCAACCTGCCTGCCAAACCCTCAAGTTAGCAAAGAACATAAATACGAATAGCCCGGCTGGCATGGCTCAGTAGTTGAGTGTCGACCTATGAACCAGGAGGTCACCTTTGGATTGCAGGTCAGGGCACATGCCCAGGTTGCGGGCTCAATCCCCAGTAGGGGGCATGCAGGAGGCAGCTAATCAATGATTCTCTCTCACCATTGATGTTTCTATCTCTCCTTCTCCCCTCCTCTCTGAAATCAACAAAAATGTATATATTAAGAAAGAAGTACAAATAATTTAAGCTGAATGGTCTTTATTAAAAAAACAACAACACCTTTATTGTGGTATTTTTCAAACATATACAAAAGTAGAGAGAATAGTGTGATGTGCATGCATGTACCCATTGTCCAGCTTCTGTAATCACCAGTGTAGGGCCAGCTTTATTTTATCCCCACTTGCCCGTCCTCAAACTAGATTGTTTTGAAGCAAGTCTCAGACATAATCATGTCAAGAAGCTGGATGATGTTAAAGATAAGATGAAAACACTCTTATTCTCCTTTAACCAAAAGAAAAGAAATTCAGTTATCCAAGGAAAATGTAAAGCTCGCAGAGCCTAGCCATGGCTCGTTCTCAATGCAAAGTATCGTGTAGCAGGCTTTGAGCAGTTGGTGACATTTATGAAAGGAAAATTCATTTTACTTTTTCACTTGTAATTCCTACATTACTACAACTGTGCATTTGAATGAAAATTATTACACTTCTCTCATTGGTTTTAATCAAATACTTGGTTTTACAGTTTAAAATAAAATGGCAGCAAAATAGAAAAGGTAGTAAGTTCTACATCTTTCATGGAAAGCAGTAGATAGATACTGTTTCAAGTTTTATAAATCAAGAAAGGTATAAGATTATTTAGTTTTAGACATAACCAACCACCAAAGAAAAGAAAAATGGTAAAAAATGGCTACCTATAAGAATTGGGTAGGGTTGATTGGGAAAGGAAATCACAAGAAATATATACAAGTTATATATATTTATTTATTTAAACTTCACTATAATAGTAATAAAAGCAGATGTTAAAGGTCCTGGGTATGTCTTAATATGAATAGCCACCAAGCCAAAAACTTGTTTTGGTGTATTTCTCTCACATTATCCCACCAACATGGCATCCAAAGCAAGAACATTAAGTCTCGGAGGTCCGCTTGTCTCTGAGCTGCTGACTGGAGCCTGTCTGGACTCGGTGGGCAAACTCCTTAGGTGTCGGTGGAGTGCTCCAGTCCTTTATCTGTTAACTGAATGGGGAAAGACCTGGGAGGACATGACCCAAAGTCAGCAGTAGACCCCTGAGGGCCACCGAGGAGCTGGCTCTGGTGGATGTGGGACTGAGGCTGAAGCACGGACGGACCTCCTGCCACAGCCTCGGCTGCTGTCTGTCCCCTGTGCTGTCTGTGCTAGACTCCCCGTCCGGCCGGCATGGGCAATCCAGCGGTGAAAGACTCTCATAACCGTGTAGTGAATACCTAGGGACTCTTTTCTGGTATAAATTGGCAACTTGTGTTCCTTTTCTGCTGAATGAAGTAATGAGTTGACTAGTTTCTGTTGAGGGTAAGCTGTAGGTGAACTGTAGGTGAGCCCTGGGAGCACAAGCTAATATTTTATATGTTACACTATTAGGCCTGGAAAATCCCCAGAGAGGAGTCATGTCTCTTCAGAGCCCTACGAACCCATCTCCCCGCCCCAGGTTCCAGTTGTGCATGAGAAGCAGGACAGCATGCTGCTACTGTCTCAGCGAGGAGCGGAGCCCGCAGAGCAGAGGTGAGCAGCCGGCACTTCCTCACTGGCAGCGCCCATTCATGAATGTGTCTGTGGGTGTTCAGTGCCTTTCCATCTTCCTTAAAGTCAGTGCCTTCTCTTTGGGGTTGTATGTCGGGAGAAGACCTAATACTAATAGATTTTAATGAAAGAATTGTTATACTTAAATAAGTTATAGAAAAAAATTGTTCATTAGTCTTCTTAAAATTAAGTCCTTTTGGATCTTTCTTTTAAACCATGATGTCTGTGTGGTCACCTACTGAATTTAACCACCATTTGAGTGCTTACCATGTACAAGCCTTGCAGACTGCATATGGAGGGAAGTTAAGGATGAGCACCTGTGTCAGACTGCTTTCCATTATTTTTTCTTACCTACTTCTAACCGTAACTCAGCCCTATGGATTACTGGAACTCTCATTTGGATTAGACATCTTTGATTTGGTGCCTCTCCAGTCCACTTCTGCAGAGTGATTTGTCTAAAACTCACAGAGGCAGCCCACTCAGTGGTTGAGCGTTGAGCTATGAACCAGAAGGTCATGGTTCGATTCCTGGTTGCTAGTTCAATCCCTGGTGCAGGGGGCGGGGGTAGGAGGCAGCCACTCAATGATTGTCTCTCATCGTTGTTTCTCTCTCACACTCTCCCTTCCTCTCTGAAATCAATAAAAATACGTTTTTTAAAAATAAAACTCAGGCAAGCACTAATTCATTAGCATGGCCTCTGGGTTCCTTTATGATCAGGCTTTTATTACTCCTCTCATTTCTTGCCACTTCACCCTGTGACACCTTCCACTGGGGCCCTTAGAGGGTGAATACATGATCTGCCCACTGTCAAATCAAGGAAGAGGGGGAGCCTGGTTTAAAACAAGGTCTTCTCACTCCAGACTGTTAGTGCATTTGTTTCAGTGTGTTGTAAGTTATTTACTTATAATACACTAGAGGCCCAGTGCACGAATGGGGGGGCGGGGTTTCCCTCAGCCTGGCCTGCACCCTCTCGCAGTCCAGGACCCCTCCCCCAGAAGCTGGGCTCACGGCTGGCAAGCACACTGACCACTAGAGGGCAGCTCCTGCATTGAGCATTTGCCCCTGGTGGTTAGTGCACGTCATAGTGAGTGGTCATTTGCCGTTTGGTCAATTTGCATATTAGGGTTTTATTATATAGGATATTCATAGGCAAACAAACAGATGTTGGTACTTTTCAATGAGAGGAAGAAAATCCATTTTTGAAGAGGGAATGATTTTAGATGAAATTATGTATGTTTTCTCCTGTTTATGTATTTTTTTTAGGACATTTCATTTTTCTATCTCTTCATTCATCTCTCTTGGCAAATAGTAGCTTCAGACATGTTCTCATGTTTGGATGATGAAAGAACCCCATGACCAGACTATTATCTCTAGCTCTGGTTCCAGTTAAATCCTGGTATCTTGAGCTTTAGAGGACACTTGTCTTTAAATGTTTGTGTAGGAAGCTTCCAGTGAAATATGAAACCCTTTAGAGGAAGCAGCCCATCCGGTAGGAGGCTCTGAAATGATCGCAGCAATTTCTACAGGTAGTTACTCTGTTCAGGTCCAATGTTGATTGCTCAGGTCTGAACTCTTACTATTTTATAGGCAAGTGTGCTACTCATTATCATTTTATTGTACTTCAAAGTAATTCTGCTAGTAAAATAGTTTACAGTTCATGTGGTACCGAAACATATCAGTGTTTGTGCTGTTATGCATACAGCGTCGTGAGCTGGTTCTTCGTTTTTCTGTTAATGTTTGCTTATTCATTCTTCGTTAAGAATCCTTGTTTTGGATGATCTCCATTCCAGTCCTCATTTTATGATTTCATCTTTGTGTCCTCAAATCTTATGTACTAACTGGCTTGTGGTCACATGTTGCTCGTTAGGGTTGTAACCAACCACACACCAGACAGGGAGGTAGTAGTTTTCCCCAATACACTGACTGTTGTTATCATTGATAGGAAAGTCCCCCAGGTTAGAAGTTCATGATAATAATAGACAACTGTGTTCCCAACAGGAATGATTCCCGCTCACCCGGGAGTATAAGCTACTTGCCTTCATTCTTCACCAAGCTTGAAAACACGTCACCCATGGTTAAATCAAAGAAGCAGGAGATTTTTCGTAAGTTGAACTCCTCTGGTGGAGGTGACTCTGATATGGGTAAGTGGGATTTCTTTCATAAACCCCCAATAAAGCACGCATTGATAATGATATCTCCAATGTTGCCTCTTGTGTAATTCTTGTGTTTAGGCTCTTATAGGCATTTATCTAAAGTTCCTTCTCAAATGTCTGCCAGTGAATGAAAATTTTTCTATTAGGGAGCAAGAACTTACTGCATTCTGAAGCTACCCATTTTCTCTTTTATTAAGTGCTGATTCTAGGAAACTTTTTTCTGATTTGGGGCTGGGTTAGCATTCCATAGCTTCTTTCCCATTGGTCTCTACCTGACCTCTCTTCAGTTACTTGAAGACAGGTCATGTCCTTTGAGTATTCTCATCGCTGTCAATATCCGCAGTGGTTCCTCACACGGCCTGTGCTGAGTATTCATCTCATCTCAGTGGCTCTCCACTGAGACGTTTTCTCTCGCTTAGCCTTTCAGTAGGTTCTCGGAGAGTCCTCATTATTAAGAGAGTCTAAGATTATATTAGGGTTTTTAGCAACCTGTGTACTGTGAAGTTATAGCGCACTTAGTATCGATATAAATATCAAGGTCCCTTGATATGCTGCTCTTGGTTCATACCTGTCCCTTGCTGTCCTTGTGCAGTTAACTGGCTCCAAGTACAGGGTGATGCGATCTGTGCTTTTTTAATTCTGGCTTTTTCTGGACTTCAATCCAGTCATTCAGCATCCATCTGCAGATCTGATAAACCCACCAGCTAGGAATACATTCACATCAATAATAATGGTAGAAAGTTATAGCTATAGCACTTACTATGCTCTTGGCACTGCGCTA